CCCCCAAAACCTGGGCACTGGGGGGATGTCTCCTCCTCCTGAGCATTGTACCAGGCACTTCCATCCCTTCCTGGGCACTGGGGTCTCCCCCCTTACCGAGCATCACACTGGGTACCTGCAGAGTCCCCCCCTATCTTGAGCACCCAGGGGTCTCCCCCTTCCAAACACCCCACTGGGACTCCCCTGTGGGTACCACCTTGGTTGCTCTCTGTGTCCCACATGGGTTTTGGGGACCTGACTGTCCCCCAGCGTGACACCAACCCCCCCACAGATGTCCCCAGGGCCACAGAGCCCCAGGGTGACAATGACAGCCCCCGCCGGGGCTCCCTCTGCGACCGCCACTGCGCCGCCATCAACAACGTGCAGGGTGACCTGAGCTGCCACCTGCACCGGGCCTGCGTCCCCCCAGGTAGGACGGCCATGGGATGGGCTGGGTATGGGGTTTTGTGGGGGGTGTCCCGTCACCCCCTGTCACCTCCCGTCACCCCGTCTCGCCTACAGCCATATGCACCCCGTCCTGCTGCCAGCAGCACTCGGACGAGGTCTGCGAGAGCTGCGTGGTGAAAACCACCCTGACGGCCGAAAATGTCGTGGAGGCCAACAAGCTCTCCAACAACTACAAGGTGGGTGCTCGTGGTGTGGGTGGGGGGGGCACCCATGGGTGCTCCTGGGTGGCTGCGATGAGTTTTCTTTCCTCCCCCTCCCCCTCCAAAAATCATATTTCTCTGCAGTTTGGCTTCAAGAAGTGGAAGAGCCACGTGACGGAGCGGCCCTGGGAGGATCGCTCGGAGATCGTCAAGGAGCTCTACTCCGACCTCAACGTCATCCGGGGCCCTGGAGGTGGGTGGCTTTGGGGATGCCCTATGTGGTGGCAGCGTGGATTTGGGATGGTGCAGGCGACAACGGTCCCACCTGGTGCCTCCCTTCCCGCAGGGTCCACGGTGACGTGTGGGAACGTCCTCTACCTGCTCCTCTTTGGCTGGTGGCTCTCGCTCCTCTACGTCCTCGTGGCTGCCGTGATGTTCGTCACCGTTGTGGGGGCTCCTTATGGTGAGTCCCAAATTTGAGACCCCCATGGGAAGGGCTGGGTGAGCTGTGGGTCTCCTGGCTGAGCCAAAACGGCACCTATGGGTGCCGGGGTCTTCTCTGCGGGGTGTCCCCACCAGAGCTGACGCTCGTGTTCCCACAGGGCGGCTCTGCTGGGACCTGGCCAGGTATTTCCTCTGGCCCTTCGGCAAAGTGATCCAGAAAGCTGAGGTAACAGCATCCCCCAAAACAAGGCCCCAACGGGGGATAAATTAGGGTGCCCCATGCCACACCTTGACACCCTTCATCTCCTCCCCAAGGTCCCCAAATCCCACCGGGCGCTGGGTGCGTGCGAAGCCGGCGCGCAGGCGAGCGGCACTGGGGAGAGCTCAGCCCTGCTTGGTGGCCCCACACCGCGTCGCTGGCGCCCGTGGTGCTGGGAGGACATCGGATATTGGGTGAGCCCCATTCCAGACGCAGT